TGTGTCTGTGTCTGTCTGTGTCTGTGTCTGTCTGTGTCTGTGTCTGTGTCTGTGTCTGTGTCTGTACCTGTCTGTCTGTCTGTCAACATGAAATGCCATCGCAGCACTCGGCCCCAACCACCTGAATGCTCGCATGCTTTGAAGGCTTGCAAGCAGCCACAATCGCCTCTTCCACACATCCTGAGGAGAAAAAGCGGAACACTATCTTTCGATGATTTTGATGGGGATTCTGGACTCCATTGCTGCCTGTCATAGCTCTTAGAATGTGGGAGACCCACCAAGAACTGAACGAAGCTCGGCTTTGGCGCAAAGGTTGGCCAAGTAAACCCGCTTTTGGTCCAAAGACCGTCCCTTGAGCGTAGTGCCGCTGTCTCAGCCAGGCATCACGTTCCTTGACAGGGCATGTATGAGAACCCGCAAGCAAAGAAACCAAGTCGACAGAAAGAAACGGTCAAGAAGCAGAACAGGTGGCATTTGATTTTTAAGACAGAAATGGATTCACTGCACATAAACCAAAGTTGGCTCGCTGAATCGGACTGCGTCTGCTTTGGCCACGCACTTTTTTGTTAGAAGTCGCGGGCCTGGGGTGAAACGCCGGGCGACCTCTCATAAGAGGAGCCTGGCGCCAGCCACAGAAAGTTATGTTTGAAACGGTGTCCCTGCAGGCTGGGTGCCCAACACTCGCAGGCATCCATCGTGATCCTCTTCTTCATATCCAATGGGCGGCCTTGGTTTGGGCGCCGCGTTCGCACAGACGTCTTTCTCTCAAAGCTGCCCATTCTCCACTTCTGGGTCCCTTAGACGTGTCACGTCAGGAATCGATCGGCCCGAACTTCAAGGCGCTGAGCCTGCGACTCGGTGTGCACTTCCGTGCTCCAGTCGGACTCGCCGTCCGACACGTCACCTGATGCTGCGCTCAGCGCGCAGTGCGATCACCGGCGGTTCTCAGATTCTACGGGGCAGGCAGGTGGAACCACAGTGGCATCTTCGAAGGCCTGGGGCACGCAATGCTCAGACCATCGTTTCGGTTATGTGCTTGGAACCGTTTCTCACGCCTCCTCTTCCTCTTCAACCATCCCTTCATCATCCGACTCGCCGTCGACGACCTCAGTGGTAACATCGACCCCGATCCTGTGGAGAAAGGCATTCTGCCGGCCAAGCCTGGTAGCCGAGGTTGAGGAGGCAATCCGAACAAGCGGGCGATATCCGACTCTATGGATTGGTTTCTAAGTGCGTTGCGTGCTTTGTGTGTCCAGCCTTGCAGCGCAAGGTGTTCCACCAGGCGGCGGCGTCCCAATCCAACGGTCCGAGCACCTTATTTTGTCGACACGTTCGTGTGGTCTTTATTCCTTTGCTTGTGTTGATTCTTGCTTGATCTTTCACTTTTGTTGTGTCTTTCCTTTGTTTTCTTTGTTTCCCTCTCTCTCTCTCTCTTTCTCTTCTTTCTTCTGTCTCTATTTGCATGTCTTTTGCTCATGCTTTGCCAGCGAGGCACCGCAGGAGCAGCATGCAAAGTGGGCGAACTCGACCTCGATGCGCACAGCGGCCATTGCCTCAGCCGGCGCGGGCAAGACTCTTCAATGGTTGGTTTCTAGTGAGAACCCTTATGTATAAGGCCCCAGCAATCAAGTTGGCTGAGGCTGCGAAGAGGGAAGCTTAATCGAGATAATAGCTTGATACAACAGGCTGCAATCAGCAATTGACATTTCATTGTGCTATGTTCTGCTAACCGACACAAGGGAAATCGGCTAACCTCAGCTAAACGTATGGCACTGCGTTAGACTAAAAGGATTTTGTTCAATTCTTTTCGCTTCCCACTGATGCTTTTGATTTACATGTTACATGTTCGTTTTCTTTGTCTTTACTGCGCTTGCTATTCTTTTCTCTTTTCTTTCTCTTCATTTTGCGACCTTTTGCTTTACGGTTGGTTCCTTTTTGGCTTGCTCTGTCTTTTTCAGTTCTATTGTTCTTTCTGTCTGTCTGTCTGTCTGTCTGTCTGTCTGTCTGTCTCTGTCTGTCTCTGTCTGTCTCTGTCTGTCTCTGTCTGT